GGAGGAATCAGCAGCTGCAGCGCTGCTCTTATTAAGGCCAAAGACATCATGCGATTCTCCTTTTATCTAAACATTCATTTAACTATCAAAATAAAATCTACACAGGCAAGTATTCCCAGTGAGTTATGCTCTGCTGTGGTGCAGATTGCATTATGTTTTCTTTACAATCTTACACTTGCAGGTAGGATTACATCAAATTGACAAAACCAACAGCTGAGGAGTATCCCGTCTAAACATTGGAGATCCAGCAGTGAAAGCTTATTTAGAAACGCTGAAAACTGACTGACAGCAGCAAAGCACTTGCTTGTTGTCTGATGGATACATTACAGCTATACAACAGGATGGTCATACAACAAGGTTCACTTTGTCTGATGGTCTCGTGCACATAAAGAAAGAAACTCGACCAAAACTGTTGCTACTTTTCTTTTCCAGGCTTTAGGAAACACAGAGAGAAAACTCTGACTGCAGAATAAAAACCTAAACAGAAAAGATGTGCAAAGAAGTTAATTATGCTTCTTACACTTCATCATTGTGGATCAGGGTGTACTTCACAGGCTCAGATGGGGAGGAAACAGGAGGAACACGATCTCCACACTTATGAGTCGTGAAACAGCTTCAGGATTTTCTGAGGTGCCAAAAATTGACTAGTGCAGCTGGGACCTGTTAGTGAGGCAGTGAGATGGAGCTGAAAGCGCCTCTGATTATGTTCCCAGTTCTTCATGCTCGTGCACGAGGCTCCACGGTGCATGAATACACTGTTACACTCTGCATGTGGATCAGTCTGTGATGTATAAAAGCAGCTTTGCATGTGCAGCTCCTGATGATTTATTACAAAAGCTGCCAGTGAAATAAAGCAAATAAACCTTAATGAAGTGGTTACCCTCTTATTTTTATGGCACGGCCCCCCACTATGGACGAGAGGTCCTCTCTGTATGTATCTGATGCAGCGTCTGCTGTGACTGACCTCATTTCATATAATAATATATATAATATCCAGCAATGTACGAGCAAATCCACACTTTCATTTATGAAATGCTGCACGATGGAGCATGTGTCATAGATGCATCATGATTGTCAGAGTGTGAATGCAGCACGTGGACGGCTTTTGATGGAAAAGATACAACAAGGTGTGGAAATGTATTTCATACGAAACAAAAACTAACATGACTCACGTGATGAAGATCATCATCATGGATGAGCTTCCTCAGTACAAATATGTCATAAAGTCGATAAACGTCATTCTGTCCGTGCTCTGACTGCAAACCGGCCAATGACAGTGAGAATAACACCACGCCACGTCAGCCATGTGGTTGGATCAGAGTCAGAGCCACATCGAGTTATCCTGACACACACAGGAGGAGCAGCCTGCAGCACACGTGCTCATGTTCGGGCTGCTAACTCCCAAAAACGACACTCAAACAGTCGCACTGTACACGACTCACACACACACAGTCCAGCTCACAATGACAACGACGCTGCTGGAAGGGCGACGACAGTCTGATGTTTAAAGCAGAGCGGCACGCTGTGATTAAGTGCTATCCTCTACACTTTACAGTCCCAGACGCTGTCTCGCCTTACAACAGCTAAAATAAAGAGCCCACTTTACTGTGCCGCATGATAATAGAGAGCGGGGGGGGGGGGGTTAACAGATTCAAGCAGCTGACTGATGTAACCGACCCGACACCGACACTCTGTGTGGATTCTGTCCACACAGAGTCCACACAGAGTCCACACTGACACACATCAAACCAAATCTTTGCTGAAAGAGAGTATGAGCCTCAGCAGCTCCTTCACTGCACTCCTTGTGCTTTTATTAAAAGACACTTCAGCCTATAAGAAAACACAAAGCGGTGTGACACGCCCACAGTACACAGCTGTAACTCTGCTGTGCAGCATGTTTGGCATCATGTCACGTTAACGCTGTCATTTTGAGACATTTCACAGACTGTGGGAAACTCATTTATCAGATTATATTAGAATTGTTTAGGGAAAAAATTATTTATTAGGCAAGTAAGAAACACATTTTTCCCAAATGTAAGATTTGGGAGTTCTTCTCTGAGAAATGATTCAACTTTTTTTCTATAAAATAAATAAATTTGCATATCAATAAATGTATTTTTAATCTTAATAAAAATAATAATCTGTTCTTGTATTTTCCTCTTTGTTTGATTAAGTCCAGATGTAAATTCTGTTTAAACGTATTCATTAAATAACAAGTTATATTAAAGTAAATGACAACTATCACCTGAATTAAAGAGCTCCAGCATAACATTACAGGAACACAGCAGTCATGTGACCTCACACTGGCCACATGACAGTGAACACGCAGCACTGCGACGCTGCAACCAGTCAACCTGTACATGCCAATGTGCAGTATGTACAGATGTTCCTCAACTACTGCGTGCATGTGTGTGTGTGTGTGTACTCTAAACTGCTGCAGTTTTGAGAAGAAATGAAGACGTATAAAGTGATTACATCTGACTTCCATAAAATAAAGGTTTACAGTATTTGTACTAAGAAGGAAAATCACAGCCAGCCAATAAACTTCAAAGTGCTCCGTCTCTGGTCTCCACCTCAGTGTTTCCAGCCCACCTGTGTGTGCCCGTGTGGGGCAGGAACACTTGATGACGGCTGTTTGGAGCTGCTGCAGACTGGATCTGACACTAATGAAGCGGCTCCCAGATAAAATAATTAAGAGTAGTAGAGTAACGCCTTTATTTAGGTAAAGCTGTTCTTGCACTTCCTGCATGTCGTTCATCAACAGCACAGCTGCCGATAAGTGACGGTGTGGAGAACAACAAGCACTTTCTCTGGTATCAACACAGGAGCAGCTCTCTGCTGCTGGCCAGATAACCAGTGTCAGCACACCAGTATACCCAGTTCCAACCTGCCATGAACTGGTGAGAAACAGAGCAACATGTGACGTAATAAGGACTTTTTCCAGTTTGTTGATTTATTGTTTGCTTGTTCCCTGTCGGCCTCTAAACAGCTTCCTGCTGTTAAACAATTAAGATAAGAATTTTATTAATGCTGAGGAAAAATCCCTTCAAGAGGTCAGTGGAGTAAACAGACACACAACAAACAGACACGAGCAACAACATTTACATCAGTGTGTACTATGTCTGAACACCACATCCAGAGCAGCTTGGGTTTTGTAGAGATGGTGAGGCAGGTGAAACCGTGGTCTCATACGATGTCACAGCTCTCCTCACTTGTGTTCCAGTCACTGAAACATTGGAGGTCGTTTGTAAGAGATTACAGGATGACCCCAACCTCAGCAGCAGGACCGCTCTCAGCACCAGACACGTGGGTTTGCCTTTGAACTGCGTCTTAATACTTTGAAGAAGTGGGAAAGACGGCTCTGTTATCCTACCGTGGAAAACCACCACGTATGTGAAAAAGGGAAAGACCATCTCTGAATGGAGGCGGGGCCTAAGGGTGCATCTGTCACCATCTTACATGCTGTGATTGCAGCCATTCCCCAGCTCTCTGTGAATGGCACTCATGGTTATTGATCAGTGGTCTTGACAATTTGCATATTAAAGGTCATGAAACTGATCCCGCAGCTCACAGTTAGTCAGTGCTGCTAGATTCAGTCATGATGCAAATGCACTGTTGATAAGTTTCCTGCAAGCTCTCACTAATGAAAATCCTTTGTTTGGTTCAGAGAGACAGTGCTGCCTGGCAGCAGCACCACGGGTGCAAACAGACACCACACCAACTCTGTCCTTGGGACCTGGTGGCTTAAAGACAGCTGCATATTAGGGCTGGGTGATATGGCCTAAAATCCATATCACGGTATAATCTGAAGCATGTGCGGTAACGATATATATCGCGATATATTATTTTCTTCTGTATAACGTATTTTCCACACTATAGGGCACACTTAGAATCCTTTAATGTTCTCAAAAATCGAGAGTGTGCCTTATGTATGAATTCTGGTTGTGCTTACTGACCTCGAACCGATTTTGGCAGAAATCTGTTAAAAAATGTTTTAGTACAACTTTGGTAAGCTGCACTGCTTACTGACCTCGAACTGATTTTATGTGCTACACGGCACTCAAACATCTGTCAAAAATGTTGTAGTACGACTTTGCTAA